CAATTTTAAATTGCTTTATTGAACTTTAATCAACTTTAAAATAAAATATAAAATAAATATTTCTATAGTTTTAAGTGCTTCACGTGAATCCCAATTTAAGTATTGATATTCTGAAGGAAGAGTTAAAAATACTTATTAATCATTTTATATTAATTGCTACAAAAATCACTACTAAACATGGACTTTGTTTCTCCATTTTGTAAAACTCATTTTTTTTCCAACATATTTTCGATTGCACGTTCTCTCAATAAATTAATTTTGCATATGGACCGATAGTTTTTCTCTACTCTTTAACTACATATTCTCCAAAAAATTATTTTTTACTAAATCTATTATAAAAAAATCACTACCAAACATGGACTTTGTTTTTCGCTTTTAAATATGGAAGGTCTTATGTCTTAATGAAAAATTCTTCAAAACTGCCTCTTTATTGTATCAATCATGCTACGTGATGTACATCATTTTTTACACTTTGTTACATGGTAATAAATCGTGGGACAATTTTTTGAACACAGTCAATTGTCGAAAATACTTGTAATGTCAACAATACTGTACAAAAAAAGTTTACACATGACATTGTCCCGTACTTTATATTATTCTAGCCGGCAAAACTCACCCCTCTCTTTGGAATCTGCCTCGAACTTTGGAACCTCACATGCTAATAACCTTTTGAACCCATAAATACCGTAACAAATGAACGACTCTTACTACATTCCTCTCATTTTAGCTCAAGTTAAGGTTTCTTTTCTTATCCTTGAACATAACATTATGGCCAATGTTGTTGCTTCTTGTTTGTTTTTCATTTTACTTATTGCATCAAACCAAGTTCTTGGCACTCAAGGAAGAAATTTGATGGTCATTAGAAAAAGTTTGAAGGGCACGAAAGAAACGTTACCAAATACTGCAGATAACAACTTCAAGAACCCTATGTTGCAGAGGCAAGGATTTAGGTTTTTACAAGGTTATGTTGATTCTTTTAAACCAACTACGCCTGGCCACAGTCCAGGAATTGGTCATTCTAAGCATGACTAAGGCGTTGTAATGGAGAATAAGTTGTTCAGTAGTTGTATCTTAGTGGAATTATCAAGAATGGGACTTGCATATTTCAGCTGCTTCTTTAATTTACCCCTTTTGTGTCTTAATCTTTACTTTGTTCATGCAAAAATGCAGCAATTTATTAATTTCTATTTAAGAACGTACTACGACAAAACACGTTAGATTAAGACCTGAAATTCTTTAAGACAATTACAATAAATTAAAGATAACTGTATAACGAAGTGCTTGGAGCAAAAATATCACTCAAGTTTATGGGTTAGGTCACTCAAACGATGATGATCGAATACTATAAGGATCCGACCTAAGATTTTAAATGTTCTGTATAAAATCTAAAAGAGCGTCAACGTCTTTCTTTTAATTAATAAGCACGCATAAAAAAATAGTTATATATTAATTCGTTGAACATAAAACTATTAAATAGCAAAAACAAAACAAATATATTTTTCACCACTGCAATCAACCAACATCCATACTATGATAGACTTGTTTCTTTTATAGCTTTATTATATGAAGGGACTTCTTATCATGTTTGCTAAGTACTAAATAGAAAGAAAACAATACTTCAATGACCTTTAAACATTTTAACATTGCCTGATCTCCTTGATTCTTCTAAAAGTTCTTTATTCTTTACTTAATGTGAGTCAGTCAACAAATAATAAATAAATAGCTCTCGAAAAATCACTCTCTCCACTGAAATCTAACCAAAATGAGTTATTCTGAGGTGGGTCCCACCTCTATGTGAGTTATCGATGTTAGATATTTTTCATCATTTTGCATGTATTATCTTTTGTTTTGCGAATGTTTTGCCGCTCCGACTAGTGTTTGCCGCTACGCAACGGGGATCGACCTGCCCGGTCAGGTCGCGGGGGTCGAGGGGGCAGCGCCCCCCGTGGGGGCTCGGGGGCAACGCCCCCGAAAGAGAATTTTATTTTCAGAAGTTTTTGAATAGGTATGTTTCTTCCAACAGATGCGTCCATTCATTTCAAGGGACACACCTATTCAAAAGGTTGCCTCCATTTCTATATATTCTGGGCGAATTCTCATTTNTTTTTAGACAGGTAGTTCATAATAATGGAAAACTTGCAAATATAGTATTTTTTTTTTCCCTTTTGTTTATTTATTGGCTATAGTCTAAATCCATATTTTTAATATTCAAGTGTAAATATCTATATTTTTTCTAATTTTTTCCTTTTGCTTTTTATTGCATATTACCTGAGTTGTGAGAAGGGTCTACCCACCACTAGAGCTGGGTCATATCGAGGCCAACACTAGAGGACCTGGTTTACCGGATCCAGACGGGAGTATGTTCAATGAAATAATTTCTTAGAGGTATTACCGCATCCCAAAGGGTTATGCCCACTTTTCACGTCACTGGAATCTTTATGTTCAAAACCCTGATTCAAGTAGTTATTTATTTGGGACCTCCCAAGGAGCAGGAGCTATCATTCTAATTGTTCTCGGGGGATTCCATCCACAAACACAAAGTTTATGGCTGACCGATTGTAAGCCATTTAAGCTTACTAAAAGAGATGTATACACATGCCGTGAAGTTGGAATTTTCGCCATTGAACTATAATATTCCTGAATATGAGCTCTCATAAACTGTAAATTTTCATTGCACGCCCATTAGGTTCTCAATTTTTTTTCTTTAATCATAACAAACCTAGTCTTACCTCATGAAATGACGTTGTAAAATGCCGAGGATGAATCGAAAAAGAAATCCTTAAGGAATAATTAGTTCAATAACACAAAAAATACATTTGAAGATATAATGTAATATGAATGATTATTTTTTTATAATTGTCTTATAATAATGAACGCGATATTTTTCTTACTCTTACACAATTTAATTTTCCGCATACTAAAAATTTCAAAATGAACAAAATCTAAAGCATGAACCAAATGCAAACAACTTGAGAAAGTGGGCAGATCTAAAGAAATCTTTCACCAACCCAATTGAAATCAAGAAACAAAAGAAAAACATATCAGATTGGAATCTTAATGAACTTGGTACTTTCTTAAATATAATCAGTCCACCATCTTTTCTCTATCATTCAAAATTCATGTTTTATTAATAGCTCCTAAATTAGACTATGGACAGACCTACTTTTTCATTTAATTTAATTTTATTTATTTAGTACTAATCTTGCCTTTAACTGCAAAAAAATCTGTTGGCCAGAATCTATTGTGTAATGTTGTATTGCTCTCAGGCTGTAAAGTCCAACTGCAAAAAATTCAAAAGGCAATCCCTCAAAGGGACGGTCCAAATAAACAGTATGGTCAGTGGAAGGCTCATGGACAAGTGGGATCCTGCAACTTTTATACATATAATATCTTTTATATATAGACAAAAAGGTTTGTCTAATGTTTCCAGTAAGAAAAGTGCAACTGTTTGCATATATTAAGGAACTTAGAGTTTGAGGTAACCCTTGCGTTCTTGAAAGGCAATTTTAGGTCATTCAATGAAGAATCAAGTACTGTCCTTAGAGAGATCCAATCACCTTGGAAAGATCTCATTTACAACTATTATATTTCGGTTTTGCTACCGGTACATCAATGTGTACGTCAGCGTGTACATCACACTCACATGGGGGGTGGAACCCGCTTGAATAAAAAAATATTTTATACAAGTGGGTCCCACCCCTATGTGAGTGTAATGTAGATCTTGATATATAATTCTTGATATACAAGTAGCATTTTTTATTATATTTTCTATAAGAATTTAAAAAGGTTTGACAGAACTGTTATAGAAGAAGACTTGACAACTTTTCATTGGTTTTCGACACAACAATGACAAAAAATACATCATGCAGCACCTGTATGGTTTCTATGAATAATTCTCCAAACGTAGGGAATTATTCAATTTTTGATTTGCCTTGGACCAAGAAAAATAAATTGTCGGCTGTTCATTTATTGAAATATGGGTAAAAATAGAAAATTAAAATGGCATTGCACGGACCACACGGTTTTAGTTAGGTCTTCTTTTTATAGATATTTAATATAATCTGTACAAAATTAATTATTCAGCAATTGCTATAAAGGAATCCAATAGCATAACAACATACTCCAAAATTATATTTCGGTTTTGCTACCGGTACATCAAGGTATACGTCAGCGTGTACATCACACTCACATGGGGGGTGTGACCCGCTTGAATAAAAAAATATTTTATACAAGTAGGTCCCACCCCTACGTGAGTGTGATGTACACCTTGATATATAATTCTTGATATACAAGTAGCATTTTTTATTATATTTTCTATAAGAAATTAAAAAGGTTTGACAGAACTGTTATAGAAGAAGACTTGACAACTTTTCATTGGTTTTCGACACAACAATGACAGAAAATACACCATGCAGCACCTGTATGGTTTCTGTGAATAATTCTCCAAACGCAGGGAATTATTTAATTTTTAATTTGCCTTGGACCAAGAAAAATAATTTGTCGGCTGTTCATTTATTGAAATATGGGTAAAAATAGAAAATTAAAATGGCATTGCACGGACCACACGGTTTTAGTTAGGTCTTCTCTTTATAGATATTTAATATAATCTGTACAAATTAATTATTCAGCAATTGCTATTTCGTAATTAACTTGTACATACATATTGAAACTTGGGAGGAACCAAATACTATTTTCTTTTCAATGATAGAAAAATAAATTATCCTAAAAAGATCCTTAATTGTTAGATGAAGTTTTAAGATTATTGTTAGTGGAATATACATTAGACAGGGGTTTTTCTACCTTCATTTCTGCTATCAGGAGAAAGGAAGTCACATTTTTCTTCTTTTTTTTCCTTTTTCTTCCAGTTAATTTTTCCAAAGAAAGAAAAAATATTCTTTTTTTGTTGCCCGCCCGAGCAGTGTTCTTAATCTTGAGAAATACCCAGAAATCTGGGTTAAAGATAATGCATGACAAATGAAATTAATAGATACATTTTCATGCAGAAAAAATTTGTAGCATTGGATTAATTTGATGGGGACGATTGTCCAACAGAAAATTTAAGGACTCGTTCTCTTTGCTGTTTTTATGCCATTTTCAGTTTTCGTAAACACTGAGAAAACAAGTTTACTTACCTATTGTTTTGGCTGTTTTCAGTTAAAATCAAGTCAAAACTTCATTTTTTTATTTTTGAAAACAATTTTTCAAAATGACGAAAAGAACACGCTTTCAGTAATCTCAAAATGGACACTCAAAACACAAAATCCAAAATGAATTCAAAACTCAAAATTGAAACACGAAAAGAACAGTCCTAAGTTATTCTCTAAAACGATGTTCTCTGTCTCACCAAAGCATATATAGTACAGACAGAAATGATGGGTATTATTTCCCCTCCTATTTTTCAATTTTCCTTCACCCTGAACCAAAGGAAGTGTCACAGTATAGTATCCAAAAATTCAGATATTTTTTCATTTTCAATTCGTAATTTGGAAATATTCATTTATTAAGAACCTAATAATAATTTGTACAGATGGATATGCATTAAAACTTGGTCCATTGAAAAAAAGAAAAAATTGAAATATAGTTGAAGGGCCATAGCAGCATGCAGAATATAGGCAACTAGCAGAAGCAAAGATAGTGCATGTGACCTTTATTTTCTTGATGAGAGGTAGCCCTTGAACTCCCAAAACAAGCCATCCATTCTGCTTTTCATTCTTTTCTAAACAGAAGAATCTTCCCACTATACAGGACCTTCATAACCCCCAACCCAACCACTATAAATACACACTACAGTTTTCAGAATAGTTTTATACATCCATCTCTCAAAAACTCAAGCATTCTTCTCTCTATAACTGTTCAATCGATTCTTTCGTGATATATCACGATATGTCGACCAAGATTTTGGGCATTTGTGCATTTTTTCTTGTGTTAATCTTGTGTCAAGAGATTGTGTGTGTTGAGGGGAGGCATTTGAAGCACAAAGTGTGCAAGAAATGTTCCAAGGGACATGAGAACTCCTCTTTGAAAGGGAGAAA